GGTATTAAGCCATTCTTGTAAGACGGCAGATTGGGTAGCATTGGACCATGTGTGACATTCTAGCTGAGAACTGGCGGGCACAATGAGGTGAGGGCTTTGAAGGAGCGGATATACAGTTAGTTCAGGTAGTCTGCAGTCTTAATTACCAGAAGCTATCATTTCCTAGAACAAACAACGAAGTCATTTTTTTTTTCTAATTTATTTTGTTTTGTTTAGGAAAATAACCCTGAAGTATGCTTTGTCCCAGAACGCCTAATCTTTGAGTTTCCTTTCCTGAAGTGCAACCTAGTGCATGTGCAAGCCCTGCCCGTCTCCTATCACCTGATTCTGTGAGAGCTGAGACTGCGGGTCTGAGGCAAAAAGCTAAAACTCTACCTACTGCTCTTTCCATGAGTAGTAAAGTCCTCTGTCTCTACCCCAGGGGTCTCATGGCCACTCTCATCATCCATGAAACTGTGACAGGTTAACTTGTTGGCTTGCAAGTAGGGTAAAATCTCCGCCCCTTCACCAAAAACCGATGGGCAATCACCACTGCCTTTTTTACCCTGATCACTGTCTAGCAAGCAGATGAAAGAATATAATTCCTTTCTAAGCACAGTCTACAGCCAAAGGTTTGTGGACAAAGAGGAGGTGAAACAAAATGAGTCTGAAATATTTTTCAGTTGATTTGGGCGGAGATTGTTTCAGCAGGCTGTACAGAGGATGCCTGTAGATGGTAAGGGCATGAAAAGACCTTCAAACATTTTGCCTTTCAGCCCACTGTTGGGTGCCTTGTGCAGTCAAAGGCTCACTATTGTCCAATGCAAATGGTCCAGAGAGCAGTGTACACGGCACAGATTAGTTTCACAGGCCACAATGGTATGGCAGTGTGCCTGATCAGACTAGAACAATAACACTGTAATTTAAAAAAAACGGTCCACTCTGAGGAGGCACCACTGATAGGGTCAAGGATCCAATGGAGTCATTCTGCCAGGGGGTGAGGGTATTTTCCTCTGTCATCAATTCTCCCTCTCTGTGAAGGTGGGAAGGTTGGAGGATTGGGGTGGTTGGAGAAGACCACAGGACAGTTTGGGAAAGTTTCAACAAGGCTAACAAGGAGTTCTGAAACCAAGGTGACGGGTCAGAAGACACCCCATCTTCTGGGGGAAAACACAAACAAAAAAAACAGAATCCCTGCCGTGAGAGCAGTCCGTGGAGAGGGTGACCTCTCTGTGAATACAGTAATAGATCACAGCAGACAACTGCTGGACTGGGTCCAATCATACTCTCTGATAGAAATAGAAATCTAAGGGATACATTTCCTTGGCCACCACAACCACTTATGGCAAACAAAAAGATTCCACAATAAATCATATTAACAGAAATCACATTTTAATGACTAAGACTCATGAATAGCAAAGCATTGATGATATATGAGGGGGGCTCCAAAAAGTTCATGGAAAAATGAAACTACAAAATAATGGAAAATGCAATTGTTCTATGAATCTTTTGAATCTCGTGTACGTATATGTGTGTATA